TGTACCTCAACAGTTGGTGTAAAGTCTGCTCGAAACCGGGTCACAAAATCAGGCTTGGTCAAGGCCTCAATGGCTGGGCCTCCCAAAGTATAGTCGACCTCCTCCCACCAATCTCGGGCTCGCTCCCTCAGACATCCTGCAGCGAACCTCACCTTCGACCCCTCGGGGCAAAAACTCGTCATATGGGCACACTTAATGTCAGCTATCCAACGCCCGACTGCGATGAGGTCCTTCACCTTATAGAAATCTGGTGCCCCACATCCCTTGAAATCCGTGAAGGAGAGAGTGCGGGCCCCAGACTGGCTAGCGTCCAAATCGGCCCTGAAGATCAGACGGCGATCCTCCATCTGCTTGATGATACCCTCCTTGATCGATCGAACATCACCGGGGTCACATCAAGGATGCCACTAGTAACATCGGATGCAGTGAAATCACGTAGCCTCTTATCAATCGGTTCGATGCTCGTTCCCGAACCTGATCCCGATCCTGAACCCCCTGCTTCATGACGTGTCACCGCCATACTGAAACATAACCACATAAACAATTAGCAAATACACGAGAAGGTTCACACTCTCAAGTTCCCTAGATTCATCGTGGTCTTCCTGGTCTCAGGTATAAATCCTGTGCTTCCAGCTGTACGAGCCCAATATTACCTTCTACACCTATTTATACCCTCATCAAGGACTACCCCGACTCCTCCAAGTCGCTCTTCCCATCTAGTACATTCCTCATACTATAAGGCGTCCTACACACCAATGCATCTCTCAGGGATTTCCCAAGACTCCCTTCCTCACCCCTCCTTCCTATTAGTTGCAGAAGGAACTCCCACTAATACCACCTAACTACTATATGGGCACAATTACATACTATCATTACTAGATAATTCTTCAAATGGCAGGTCCCACACTACAACGGTTGGACTCAAACAAGAGCTGCGAATAAAGTTAAACCTATCCTTCTAAAATTATCCAATCACAATAATATGTAACCCAACACATTCATCCACTAGTTAGTTAGTACCAACATAGTTCCCAAAAGCACAAAGCATGCAACATTCGAGCATCAGGCAATTCAACTCAGAACATAACCTATACATGTCATCCTATCAAGTAACTGATCTGATACCAGCATGCGAATCTATAAGCTCATACAAATAGACACATAAGGGCATCTCTCCTAACACTCTATCATGAAATTTTGAGCAGATCCTTAGCCCCTAATCTAGCATGCAATCATCATATCATAGCATAAAACATATAAGATGTATGGGTATTTTGGGAAGACTTACTTTAGCTCGGTTGATTGCACACATCACACCCCTTTTTCTTTTATTAAAATCCTTTGGTTAATGAATCTATTTGTGGAAAATCTACCAAACCCTAGATTTGAGTCCTTGCACACCCGAGAGTATGCCTGAGTCCCTCAAACCAAGGCTCTGATACCAACTAACATCCCAAAAATACAGATAAAAATTTTGTTTTTAAATTCACTCAAAACATGCGTTACTCATATCAAATCAGTCAAAAGTGTATCATAGCAACATATTATCAGAGTACAAATTCCCAAAATCTCAAAGTGCGAAAATAATAAGGTGATGCGGTGTGATCAGGTCGGGCCCTACCCCTTCGAATTGGAAGTACCTGAAACATAAACTAAAAGTTGTAAGCACAAAGCTTAGTGAGTTCCGCCAAAATATCACATACAATACAAACATACAACCAATCATATTTAGCTGCTTGCAATCCCCTTCGGTCTATTTCAACCAGATACAGTCAATCATATCTGGGTGCTTGCAATCTCCTTCGGTCTATTTCAACCGGATACCGGGTCTATTTCACCCCTTACCACTACCATATAATATCATAACAAAGAATCACAGAGCCATATAGCAAACACAAGCATATCTGACAGTTGTCATGAAGTCAACCATCATACTACAACATAAAATAATGGGTCGACATTGGTGCCTTCGACCCACAGATACAATGAAGGAAGCTCACCTCATACTGAAGACAACTAAATCTCGCACCCGAACTGTCGGAACTAAACTCCGCCTAATAACACAATAATAAATCCTAATTAACTGTTAAGATCCATTACTCAACTCGCGAGTCCAAGACCACAACCAAACCTCTTAAGGGCAAAAAGACCATTTTGCCCCTCCCATGGTCCAAAACCCTAAATCTTGACCAAAAGTCCAAAAGTCAATAAAAGTCAACTACCCAACGCGTACGTTGGGCGTACTCTCTTCCTACGCGGGGCGTACTTCATAAATCAGGCGGGATCGGGGTATCACTTGGCTATGCTGGGCGTAGCCAGTTGTATGCGGGACGTACTCTGTCTGACCCTAAAGACCAAACCAAAAAGGTCTTAATCTTTAAGACATGCATCCAAACATAGATCTGACCTTCTTAGAACGTCTTAACCCATAAACTATAAAACTTTAAGCCTTTGCATGGCTGAAAAGGGCTTAAACCTTAAAACTCTAACTTGATCCACACTGATCACCACCAAAATCTTGCATGGCTAGAAAAGGACCATCAAGCGACCATTTTTATGAATCTTCAAGACCTAACATGCATGAAAAGGACAACTAATATGATCTGGAGTGTCCCAAACTCATAATGGTCCAAACTTTGGGACAAAAAGCTCATAAAACACAATTATGGAGATCAAAAAGGAAACACATTAAGGTATAAACTTTATACCTTCAAAAGATGCACAAGGATGAGTAGTTATTGGATCTATAAGCTTGCAAGCGACACCTCCTTCTTTAATGGTCTTCTTCTTCAACCAATAAGCACCAAAAGTCACTAATAAGCTCCAAACTCTCACAAACAAGGTTTAAACTCGAGATTAGGGTTTTTGAGGGAAGGTGACTGATAAGGAATGTCCAAGGGAGGCATAAGGTGGTTTAAATAGGGAAGCAAACCCTTAAAATTAGGGTTTTGAGGTTGAGCACGTACGCCCGACGTACCTCACGTATGCCCAACATACTAGCAGGGCTTCCGCGATCAGATCACATGAGTACGCTGCGCGTACCCACATGTACGCCCAACATACTAGATGAAATGCAAAACTCACTAAAAATAGGACCAAATGTGCAAACTCCAATATGTTAAAGGCTAAAATGGAAATACCTTGTATCCGGATGCTACAAGTCTCCTCTAAGTTACGCATCTTTGACAAACTTTATTATAACTATTGAAATTACGTTTAAATATTTGAATCATACGACGCAACCGCACAATATCTTTTTACTCTTTCATTTTTTAGGTTTTGATTACATAAAGAACCACATGGTTTTTGGTTCTAGATTCACCGGTAACTCTAGGATCTTAAAGTCCAATTATACTCCCCCTTTTGTGCTCAATGTACAAACATTAAAGCACAATCTCACTACAAGAAATTCTTATTATAATGTCTTTACGGAATACTGGCATACACCAAGTGTGTCTATAATTTTTTGGAGTGCTATAAAAATATTCGAACAAATGATATCATTAAGAAACTTGGTTTATGGTGGATCAGGAAACCAATATTCTAAAACATTTAAGAACAAGAACATCTTTGTATCCATATTAATAACTCGACAAATAACAAAATCACATCTTTAATAAAAGTAGCCGTAAAAGTTTTATAGACTTGTCAAACTAATTAAACTATAATGTAACACAAAATAATAAAATAAGCTCACTGAATATGATGCAATAATATGGATCAATGGTATGAATTAGAGGGATTGCAAGTTTAGTTAACATAAAATATTTTTTAGAAACAAATAGTATAGTGAAATAGACAAGTTATAGGGCGCAAACGGCGTTATAAAATATAAATTACTTCAACACTATTTGTATATTCAACAGTGGCGGAACTATATGAGTCGTTGGGGTACTATAGCATCCAAAAAAATTGTTTTATGTATATAAAAAAAATATTTGTAAACATTATACCCCAGCTAAAGAGATAATATCATGTTTTTTAATGTCCTGGATATGATAAATACATAGAATATTTCTTGATAATGTTTGTACCATCATATAAAAATTTCCGGCTCCCTCATTCAAAACTACCATTAACAAGAAACAACCTGAATATCAATTTCAGTCCAAACTTGTTGTATTAAAGTTCTAATTTAGGTTATACAGTTTTAATTTAAAAAATTAAATTATAAATCTATTTTCACTTAACAAATAAGAATTATATGTAAAAAATAGATTGTTGCATAAAATATCTTTATGCAGTGAGGTTGCTTCTAGGAAACAAAGCTGTAACCTCCGAGCCACACGACATCACATAAATCGGCGCATCAAGGCTTTCCTCCAAACACGAGTTAACTGTATCAATATCAAAGACATGTTCGTGATAAATGATATATTATGGTTATTAAAGATCGAAAATTTGTCAATAAAATAAACTTTGAAATTTTAATATTGCCAAAATTTGATGTTATTTTATTTTCTACATTTAGTAAGGACCGACCTTTTATTGAAAAATGGCTAACTTAGAATCATATAATCTTACATAAGTTTTTCTAGAATTAAGAATTTTAGCAACTTAAATCATATAATCTTAAATAAGTTTTATTTTTTTTAATTAATATTTTTTTAGTAACATAAAACTTTAATCTCAAAGTAAAGAATAAAAAATAACAATATTTTTATATAATAATAATATATAATATAATACAATTTACATCAAAGTTACTATTATTTTTTCAAAAGTTCATCAGAAGGCAGGCAGCAAAAATATGAAAATTGGGATTTTTTTTAATAAAGTAATGTGATATTTAAAAAAATAAATAGTATAAAAAAATCATAAAATAGTAAATTTAATGTAGTTTCCCCTCTAAAAATACCACCCACAAATCCATAAAAGAGACAACAATCTCTCTCTTTCTCTCTCTCACACACATACACACAGAGATACACACTGTTTAAGAAGTTGCCTTCTCCCCTTTTCTGGTTATTCTTTATTTCTTTTCTCATTTCCATACAGCCATGGCAAAGACCTCTATGCACTTCCATTGGTCAAATAAGGTCAGCAATGAAGATCAAGAAACCCCAACACCCATCAATCCTTGCCATAAACCCAACGTCAACCACGCCGAACCTCACAAACCACCACCACCACCTCCGCCACCCCTACCAAAAAAGAAACTCCAAGCTGTAACAGTTGCTAGATTCCGCTCAGTTCTTACCGCTATCAGGCAAAATAGAGCAAACCTTCAAAACACTCTTGGCCCTAAAAGTTGTCGGAACCCTATTTGGATCCCGGCGAGGCCACGCCTACTTCGCATTCCAGAAAAACCCCACTGCCCAACCAGCTTTCTTGATCGAGCTTCAGACACCAATTAGTGGTCTTGTTAAAGAAATGGCTTCCGGGCAAGTTCGAATCGCATTGGAATGTGATAAAGAAGAAGAGAAGACGAAAAAGGTGGGTACTTCAAGAAAGCTTTTGGAAGAGCCTGTTTGGAGGACTTATTGCAACGGGAAGAAGTGCGGGTTCGCCGTGAAAAGAGAGTGCGGAGAAAAAGAATGGAGAGTTCTTAAAGCGGTGGAGCCGATATCAATGGGGGCTGGGGTGTTGCCGGCGGAGAAAACAGTCGCCGGAGAAGATGAAGAAACCATGTACATGAGAGCGAAATTTGAGAGAGTTATGGGGTCAAGAGATTCAGAAGCTTTCTATATGATGAATCCTGATAGCAATGGTGCTCCTGAACTTAGTGTTTATTTGCTCAGAGTTTAAGAATTCAATGCAGAATTTGGAAACTAAATCTAAGTTTTAGTTCTTAATTTGTAGCATGAGAATATTTCTTTTTCTCTTTTTCTTTCTTCTTGTTATTAAAAATGGAAAAGGACGAGTTGCTTGTAATTTGTAGTTTTTGAGGGGAATGGGATACATATTATTAACCAAATTTTTTTATTTCGAATGATCTAAAATGGGAAAAAAAAAAAGGTTGGTAAAGTATTTATTTATTTGTTTATTGTAAGAAATTACATGATTTGGGATTTATTGTATGAGTAACCATAATATTTGCACATTTTTAGCAATCACACTTCACTATACTTCTTTTTGTGAACATTTAGGGGAAGGTTTGAATGTGTTGAAATTTTGATTATTGATGTCTTAATTCAAAAACAAATAATTTTACAATGTTTGATAAATTATGATTATTTACGTGACAAACTAATTACATTTAGAGAAGGTAAAACTTTGATTCGATAAAAGGACTTTTAATATAAAATATAAAGAGTATCTAAATGTCAATCTTTAACTTTAATCATGTATTATAATTATTTGTTTCTAATTTTATAAATATCACAATAATAAAATAATAATACTGATTCATTGTATTCAAACTACTTTTAGGAATAGATATGAAAATCGACTTTGTGGGCTATTTTTTATAACAAAATTGGGAAATTTATTAATGTTAAGTGCAACATGGCATGATGATTAAGTTCAATAATTAGTTTGATTCTCATTAGTATTTTCCAAACTCATGTGATTATTAAATATTTAAGATTCTTTTTCACTTGGAAAAAAACAAAACTAGAGAACAATGAATAAAATAAATGGCACCAACCCAAAGACCGAACTCTTTCTTTATGCATTTAGGATTTCTCGAAGATTATTTTTATGTGTATCCTTATGAGGAACTAAAAAAAATATAAACAATAATTCTACATTATTCAATTAAATTTATAATGAGACCGTTAGTCCTACACATTTATAAAAGAGAGCTTGATGAGCTTTCTCCAAAAAAAAAAAAAAAAAAAAAAAAAAAAAAAAAAAAAAAAAAAAAAGTAGCTTATGCTAATGGATAGTTAAAGAAGTGGATTTATTACAAAAAAAATTCCACACATTTTTATTAGCTACAATCCGATTAACCATTAATGCGTATAACATTAATTAGTTCCCACAAATAGAGACAATTTTGGGCAAACCCATTTGGTAAAGGATTTACCATTTAAATTGGAGGTCTCATTTTCTAATCCAGACGTTGATAATTTTTAATAAATTGATGATACTAACTTTAACCACTAACCATCCGTTTAAAATAAAGTTCCCACAAATAATATGACTATTCCATGGATGTGTTGGTACTTCTAAATGCGTTCCATGCTTGGGTAATGCGCTCTACCATGAAAGATGCATCCTTGATGTTCATGTTTGTGTTGATCATGGAGGCTCAATGATGCGTTGTTATGATGTTGGATGCGCTCTACGCATGGTGAATGCTCCATGTGCATTAGGTACATGACAGGTAGCCACACACATCCCTCAAGATTAAATATTCTAGAAGCAGCTGCATGACGTATTGTGATTGGATGATTCCGTTTGAGGTCTATTTTTATATGTGAATCACCCATCATAATTACAGTATATCTATGATTTGCCTATAAATTGATTCATATCCCACATCAACATTCAAATGCGAGATACGTACCTGTATGAGTGCATAGATTTCAAGAGAAAAATAATTATAAGGTTGGGAGAAAATTCAAATGGGAGATACGTACGCGTATGAGTGCACATATTTTAAGAGAACGATCATTGTAAGGTTGAGAACATATTTGCAATACAAGAGACTAGAGAGATTCCTTTTGTTTGGGAGCTCCAGTAAGATGCAACATTTTGTGAATGATTGTGATTGTTCTTAAAAGATTAATAAAATCATCTCTCTCTCTCTCATCCGTGGACATAGATCACATCGATCAAACCATATTAAATACTATGTTCAATTTTACGTTAAAGCTTATTTGTTTGTGTAAAATTGTTTAACTTGTTTTGTTGAATCCCAACAATATTAAAAAACTAGGAAAAATAAAATTTGTGAAAATTTTCCCCATTATTTAAATATTTGTCGTATTTTAGAAAGTTATGAATAATGGGAACCAATTGGCCAATATGGCGAGGGTTTATGCACGTTGTCTAAACATACAATGGTTGTATACAACAAGAAAAAAGAGTAACACGGACGACATCTGATTGGACGAGTTGGATGTCACCCTATAAGACTAAAGGGAGTGGTTGCGGTTCTACCACAGTTTTGCCACGGTGTCAAAAAGGAACAACGCCCCTAGTGTGCGGTTTAGGGTGCGGTTTGGCCGCACTTTTCTTCTCTCTTTCTATATATATATATATATATATATATATATATATATATATATATATATATATATATATATTCCATCTTCAACTCTCTCTCTCTCTCTCTCTCTCTCTCTTCTCCTTCTTTTCTTCTTCCTTCTTTTTCGGTACACCACACCTAATGTGTGGCAAAGACCACACAAAAGTATGGTAAAATTGACATGGAGTCCATGTGACATCTACGTGGCATAGGAGGGGGTCCAATTCTTGTGGCACCACTCCCTCCAGCCTTACAATTACCATTTAGGAACTCGAACAATTCAATTTATTCGGTTTGTGGCAAAAATAATAACAATAATAATAAGCCCAATTGTAACACCTCAAATTTCAAACCAAAATTTCATTTTTAAATTACCCAAAATATTGTTCATAAACTAAACCATCAGAAAATTACAAGTATCAAATACAAATCATCATCGCAAATATCAGAGTGCCACAAAATGCCCATTAACAAAATCTCTCAGCGAGTGTGTACAATCAGACCTTCGCCTTCCCGCGACCCTCAGAAGTACCTGAAACACATATAAATAACAAATGTAAGCAAGGAGCTTAGTGAGCTCCCCAATATATCTCATACAACACAACACATAAAGAGTTATGTTAACTACAGTCTCAGTGGGCAAACAACACGCCTTGTGGGTTATCAGTAATCATGGAGACTACCCGAAGTCTCAGTCACACGTAAACAACATAACACAATAATAACAACTAGACCCAGCTTGTCATCACAGATACAACTATTCTACCACACATGTAAGAATAAGTGAGGATACTCACCTAATACTGATGATTGATAAATCTCACTCCCGAACTTCCGAAACTAGACTCCGACTAATAAACACAATAAGTAACCCTAATCAGTTAAGGTCATTATCCTGAATCACAAGTCCAAATCCCACAACTACGCTCCTTGAGGGAAAAAATACCATTTTGCCCTTTCCATGGTCCAAAACCCTAAATCTTTTACCTAAGTCAAAAGTCAGCAAAAAGTCAACATGTCCAACGCGTACGCTGGGCGTATACTCCCTACGCGTCGCACACTCCATGAACAAAATCGGTCGGGGTCAGGCCTGGCTACATTGGGCGTAGCCAGAAGTACGTTGGGCATACGCGGTCTGATCCCAAACTTAACTTCTTAACGTCTTAATCGTTAAGACATGCAACCCAAACTCAGATCTGACCTCAGAAGAATGTCTTAACCCATAAAGTTCATAACTTTAAGCCTTTGCATGGCTGAAATAAGCTTAAACCTCAAAACCTTAACTTAAACCATACTCAAACCACCACACTCCTGCATGGAAAGAAAGGGACCTTCAAGGAAGCATTTTTATGATTCTAGATGACCTAAAACACATGAAAGGACAGCTAATATGTTATGGAGTACGCCATACTCACAAAGATCCAAGCTTGGGACAAAAAAGGTTCATAATAACCCATTTAAGAGATATAGAAAGAAACACACCAAGGTATAAACTTTATACCTCCAAAAGATGCACAAGGTGAGGTAGTTTCTGGATCCACAAGTTTGCGAGCAACACCACCTTCTTCAATAACCTTCTTTTTCAACAAGAGAGCACCAAAATCACTAAAAACCTTCAAAATCTTCACAAAAAGGATGATACTCGAGATTAGGGTTTGGAAGGAGTTTAGGCAGTCTCTAGAAGGTCCAAGGGAGGTATAATGTTGATTAAATAGGGAGCAAACCCCTAGTTTCTGAGCTAGTACACCCTGTGTACCGCATGTACGCCCAACGTACTAGCATGTAACCTGCTTGTAACGTTTACAAGGCTTGATCATGTACGTTACGTGTACCTCACGTACGCCCAACGTACGGGCTGAAATGCAAAGATTTTGATGCAAGGGACCAATAATGAAAAATGTTTGAAAATCGAATGTTACAATTCTCCCCCAATAGAATCAGACTTCGCCCTCTAAGTCAGCCTCAGAAAACAGATCAGGGTAGTGCTCGCGCATCTCATTCTCGGGCTCCCAAGTCCACTTCGAGCCTTTTTGGTGTTACCACTGAAATTTGACCAAGTTCACTACCTTGTTCCTCAAGGTCTTCACTCTCCTATCCGGAATCGCCAATGGCCTCTCGATGTAATTCAGGCGGTCATCGACTTGAATGTCCTCCAAAGGAACCATAACTATCTCGTCAACTATACACTAATTTAACTGGGAAACATGGAAGGTATCATGAATCTAAATCAACTCCCCAGGTAGCTCCAACCCGTAAACCACCTTGTCCACACGCGCCAACACTCTGAAAGGGCCAATAAAACTGGGGCCCAACTTTCCCTGCTTCCTGAAGCGAACAACACCCTTCCAGGGTGATACCTTCAGAAGTATCAAATCTCCTACCTGAAATTCTATCTTAGAGCGTCACCGGTCCGCATAAATCTTCTGGCGACTCTGGGCCATCAACAATCTCTGTCTGACTTGTTGGATGAGCTCGGTCGTCTTAAGCACTGTCTTAATGCTCCCCATAACCCTTTGACCAACCTCGCCCCAACAAATAGGAGTCCGACACCTCCTTCCATACAGAAGCTTAAAGGGAGGCATACCGATGTTGGCATGATGGGTGTTGTTAT